TGACTAAAGATAAGCATCCAGTTCATAAGCAAGACAAACCACAGAGGGGTTTTCGACGTAAACTTAGGCTGTCACCTGCGCCCAGTCGTTTGTTCATATTGGATTCTGATGTTTTATTAATTTCAGGTTAGTGCTAATTTGTCAATTAGAATTTAAGTAATGTCTTACTCGACGTTTTTTATGACACGTTATCGCCTGGCGGCTGTGGAGGCTTTTCTAGGCATTCACAACTTCACGGCAAATTGCTTCCCCTTATTGACAGACTTCAGGCCAGCTGCTAAGATAGCTCGGCATGGCTCATGATAATCTATGAATAGGAAGACCGACTTAGGGGATCCGACGTAAGCAGGCGCCAATTTTTATTTCACCAAAGAGCAGCGGCCAGCAGTAGGTCAGAATTTTTCGCTTTTCAGTTTTTTCTTCGAAGTTGCCGATTTCATCCATGAAATTTCACAGGACGCAATAGATTTTGGTCAATTTCTTGGTCAGCCATTTAATCGGCCCTTACTTTTAAGAGCAGATTAACGTCGAGTATTTGCCGCAGATACGCCTCGCTTTTTAGGACCACAACTCAATTTAACTGGATCACAAATTACCTCGCATCAGTAATCATGGACACTTAAATAAAAAGATAGTTCGCATTTTGGACAGACGCAACGTTCTGCTGACTGAAACCTCAGTCAAATAGTTTGCAAAGTCCATTAGGATCTTGAGGTCACGCCATTTGGTCAGTCTGGTAAGTTAGGACGCAAGGATGAAGCGGGCTCTTAGCAAGCAAAAAAGTAGACCTTAAGACAAGTTTATTTATGATCCTTTCTGTACCATTTGGGGGTTGCCTCCAAGAACTCAAGAACTCGGCTGAAATAAAAGAGCGGGGAGAAGCGTCTCAGAAACTTGTCAGAATTCATGCAGCTAAAGAACGTTTGAATTAGAAACTAATTATACTGCTAGAAAAAACGGTTTTATGTATGAAGGAATGTTAAGGTGACTACGCTTTAAAGTTCCAAAATCAATATCAAATTATTTACTTTATGCTTTCAAAATCACTCCACCATGAGAAAGTATGTAACTTAACTTGAAGCGAAAGTTATATTGTGTAAGCGGAAATTTTTATATTGTTTTACGACCAAAAAGGCCATGCGTTCTGGAAGAGACAAAGCCTATGAAATACTTATGATGCATTAACCCGCAAGCCTAGTGCTTCCGGGCGTGTCTACACAATAAAAACTTGTTTTCAGAAGAGTAGCTTCCACCAGCCTACCATGATTACAAGATGGAAATAGGTATTTCCTTCTGGCCGGAATGTACCGGCTCTAGAGCCCATTCCGACTGTTGATAAGCGACGGCCAAACAGTCATCCACTAGCATTACTAACAGATATCGGAACACGAAGAGGGTCATTAATGGCTCGTTGATCATCATCAACTAGTGATAGAAGCTCAAGTTTCAACAGAAATTTACTAAAATGTCGAAAGGCACGTTGGACGTCGGTTCACACCTGAGGTATACCAGCAGCCGGGTCAAGGCAGCAGTTGCTGACGACAGCTAGTAAGCCAGAACTGGTCATTCCAAATTTGTTCAGTGCTTATGGACAATACTCACGGAAAGCTTAATCCACAGGCTGACCCAAAACATGAATTAGAATAGTTTGGTTTTGCTTTTTATGGGTCATTTTTCACTATCTTTTTAAAATTTACAAATTTGAGGCCTAGTTTGAACCTCGTTTCAGCGACAAAATTAACGGTCGAACCAAACAAAAACATAAATTACCAAGTTCGGCTAAAATTCGTAGCTGCGTTGGCTTTGTCCTAAAAGTAAAAATGGAAGGTTTTAGGAGTAAATCATGTTTTGTCTAAGCAGCACCACTTCACCGCGGCCAACGTCATCTAGTGAAATTTTGGATAGATCCATAGAAATGTTGATAGACATGACCAGATATCAAATAAGCTTGGAATATCATATGGCGAGTAAACTCACTTATCTTTCTTTCCAGATCTGGAAATGTTCAATAGACAATTTATAAAATTTGAGATTTCTTGACAACATTTATACTATCAGAAAATAACAAGGAACACAGGCACCGCTCAATCAAGCAGGGAAAAAAACAATGGAAAATCAACAATGAACTTACAATCAAGAGCTTGCAGCAGAAAAGTTTCTGTTATAAAAAACAGGCCAGTGTTAGCAATTTTTAGTCTTTACATACACAGAAACCTTGTTTTTAATAAAGATTTTGAGGACTTTTAAACTGTCTTCCACCTATTTGCTTAAACACTCTTTAAAATAAAGAAACATTTTGAAGGGCCTTTTAAGTAATCATAATCAAAACGGCGTGAGTAACTACCTAATAACAGAGGAATTGAGGTTAAGAAATGAACAGCTTACTTAATCCAATGCCGAGTTCTGCATAGAATGGAAAGTTTTGAGGATAAAGAAGTGTTCAAGTTTTTTGAAAGCGATTTACTGGCGTGATTCATTTTGGGTCATTTTTTGATTGCTTATATATAGTTAATGATTATAATAAATATAGTACTTAATAACCTACCGTGGATATCTTTCATCCAGTCACCTTAAAACATATTGACGCATAAGATTAGGAACATAAAAGGAGTGTTTTAAGCATTATGTTTTATAGAAATACGAAACTCACTATCATCACCAGAGTATGCTAAACAGAGACACATATTCTTTAAGCAAAACTATGTAGTTTAGCACAAAATAACGAACATAGCGGCCGCATGAAAGGAAAGGCTAAGCAAATAAAAACACAATGCAGAAAAAGTATTTTTTAATCATTCACCTTTAAGTCCGATTTGTAATAGTCGACCTGAAATTGGAATCGGTAATATTCTCAGGTTTGTTTGCTTTTGTAGTCAAAATATAAGTGCACATAATATTAATCACATTAACATTTTACTGAAAACATTGATTAGGAGACTTCTACTCTAGACTTTAATTCAGGACTAAAGTTTCTGGCCATCTAACACTGGTTGCTAAAATAAAAACTGGTTTGACCGTAAATGTCCAGTACAAAGCTTTGTCAGGAGTCAGTTTGGTCGTGGGTGTTTTTATAGTTCTCTAAATTGAGGAAAAACCAACTCTATGATAAATGATTAAACGCCCCTTTCACCCAGTTTTTTGCGGCCGCACAACTCGCAAAACCAAAAATAAAGTATGTTCAACGTACCAGCAAAGTCTTGTTGGCCAGAACGCTCTGAACCAAAGTTTTTATTGTGGTTAACAAAATGCGGAATAATTTGACAGCCAGAAAATCGCAAAAACTTATAAAAAACCTGTTTGTTATTTTACGATACTTTCTCAAAGCACAACTTATTCTAAGCACTGTCATTTGCTGTTCAAATAAAACATCAAAGCGAAAAAGAGTAGGAGCATAACTAAAACGTTTAATGCACTGCCATTTTTTAATGTCTCGTTTCTTACCGAAAATGTTCCTGAAAATTTTCTGAACTACGAAAGACGTCAAAAAAGTTGGCAGTAGAGAGATTGAAAAAGCGAGATAATCTTTTGATTCGAAAATAAGAAATAACGGGGTTACTACTTCCTCCGTACACACTGAACTCCACACTTAACTAATTTGCAATCAAAAGCCCTATTTCATAAAAGTCCATGAAATTATCAAGCGATTTGGGTCGCATGAACATTAATTTTGTTACGGAAGGTTTCTTTTCGAGTGTAAAGGTCCATTCGATAAACAAATTAACTAGAGCATCAAATTTGGCAGACTTCCTCAGTCAGAGTCAAAAGTATCAAGCTTGGAAGGGACGTCCTTGTTTAAGAATTTAGAGGAAAGAAGTCAGAAGCTGATACATGAAGCCAACCTCTTTTGCTTGCAAAATGAGCCAACCAAACACAGAATGCAAGGCTGGATGTCTGGAGATTTACATGTAGTTGCTAGCATTAATGCATGAACTGGGCTCTTCGAGCCTTTTGCTCCACTACTCATGAAATACGATCAGTGTTACACATGACTGCGTCCAGCGGACTACGTGTAATGACACAAGAGAGGCAGCAGTTAACTGAGCTTCGTTCAGTTTAGATGAGTTCAACGTCCACAACTAGTACTGTCAAGAGCCTCACCAGTCAGAAAACTCTTCAGATTATTTGAAGTATGTAGATCTTATTGACTAAAATCTTAAATGCGCGTTCGACATTTCTGATCCTGTTGATGGGCCGGCAATCGCTTGCAGGTGCACAGACATCGGGTACACACAGACGCAGTTGGCAGTTTGTTCAGTCGGATACTTGCCAGCAGTACTACTGGACAAGAGACGAGGCGCCGTAGATTCGGCCACAAAAGCCCACTGGGCGCTAACCGTATCGTTGACTCGGGGATGCTGTTTAATGTCCTTTCGTGCGAAAGAACACCCTCTTTTGTGCAGTACTCTGAGGCTGCGCTAGGGGAAGAGTGGGTCAGAAATGGGCAGGCCATCGGGTCACGAAAGTAGCTTCGCACTGGTTCCTTAGTTATCTAGACTTAATTAGTTCCATTCTAGCTTCTGCCTTTAGTCACATTCACATGACACAATCATAAACTGGTACTCATACTGTAATAAAAGCATACTTTAACTATTATACACGAGGTTAGTTCACCGTGTTTACATTTGTACAAAAGGACTATTAGTAGCAGAGCAAGAGATTTTGAAGCGTGAAGATTTCGGTGAGTTTCGATGTGTTTGCAAACCTGACCTTGTTTATTATGAACAGGTGAAACTTTCCCCAATTCTAGAAAGCTCACAGGAGATAATCGCTCCGAAAGAATGAAGGCTTGCAAATATGCGTTATACCGTCCTAAAGAAAGAGAGCTTAGTTTTTGATCTAGGCTGTCCTTAAAAGCAAAGAATGATATGGCTGAAAACAAGCTTTCTCCTGATTCGCGTGTGTAGGTGACATTTGTGCTTCCTGTTAACCCAGATTCGTTTAATGGGACAGAGGTGCAGAATGTACAGTAATAATTTGAAGAAACAGTAATTGTGTATTCTCGGGAAACAGCTTACGTTTTTGTCCATCTCTTCCTGTAAACCAAAAATTAAATCAAAGACTAAGCAAAGGACAGTAATTAATTATCGACTTTCCCATGCTAATCAGGGATCAGAGTTGAAAAGTATCACATTCTATTCGGGAATTACTTTCAAAAACCAGACAGCAGTTTAATCTTGACAAACTTACCTCTCAAGAATTTCACAAGGGTAGATTCTAAAAATTGAAAATACAATTGGTGCCTGAACAGTTGCCAAATTTTGAGACTGGTATTTACGTTTCTCTTTCACAGATACGAAAAGTCTCAGTTGCGCAAGCGGGCACCAACACCGGATTCTGCATGTGTGTGAGTTATTGTTGGGCAAGACTGACTGATGTGGACGCCTAAACAGGGCAAAAGAATAGGAAACACCTGCAACACGGGTGGCTTTGAGCTAACTTCTACCGAAATCAGGGTCAAGTTAAAGGCAAAGGTCAGGGCTAAGTTAATTATTGGGTTTAAGGCTAGATGTATAGCTAACGGCAAGGTAAGCCGAGATAAAGTTTAAGTAAGGGTTAATGTTAACTTCAGAGTCAAGGTTAAGGGTGGGATTAGGGTCAAAACTAGGGCAACGGTTTAGTTTTATGCTAAAGTTGTCGTTGGGATTAGGACGCGGGAATATGTTGCCCTTTCCAGAATTGCGCTCAGGTCCACCTTTATAATTTGGGCTGGACGTTCTTATGTCTATGTTCTGTTTAGACGTCCGCACAAGTCAATCTCGCCTACTGTTGAATAGTGTTTTAATATTGAATCTTTCAAGTTGGCGTGCCAGAGGCATGACACCGGGAAGTTTTTGCTGGATCTTTTACAGTGCCAAAAAACAAAGTTTGTGTAGTTTTTTTCTGCCGGTCACGGGAGGAAGACGAATGTCTTTGCGTACAATACCATCAACGTTTCTATCAGAAAACAAGAAGTCATCTCGAATTCGGTTGTTTGCCTCCTTGCAGATTACAGCCGGAACTGCTGTAGAAATACAAAATGCGATCAGGCTCGCGAACTTACGCATATCCTTTTTCCCTAAAATAGAAAATTCAAGTAGATTGTGGGAGTTGTGGGTTAAAAGACTAACAAAAAATGCCGACAGTCTGAGAAGCAGGGGATGTGATTGCTGGGACAATTAGGATTCTTGCATGAGCCGATCATCAGAGACATCAGAACTAATAAAAAAGGGATGCAGTAGTAGTGGAACAAAGTTGCTATGCCACAGTGTACCTATCTTAATTACCAACTCCCGAAGTATGCCGAGAGGGCGTTTCTATCCGTCTCATCGTATCCCTTGAAGTTTATTCACTTTAGGGACTGGCCTTGAGGCTGTTTCGTGATCCCAGATTTCTAAGCGCTGATTATGACACAGTAGTCAGTTTATTAACATACTTCTTGGAAAAAATCAAAGGGATAAGTCCCCTGCCAAACCGGCAAAGCTAATATGATGAGACGGAAAATCGCCTTGAGCAGACTCAGATCCTCCAACTCCTGAATTTCTGTCTCAAGACGTACTTAACGTTCGACGAAACAGTCTACGAACAGGTAAAATGTACGCCAACAAGCTCATCGACTTCAGACCTCATGACCGAGTCCGTTCGACATCGATTTGGATGGTTAGTATTTTGACACTGCAGACCAGAAACCTGAGTTGAGTATGCGCACGACCATTTCGTCGTAATCAAACAGACCAGGTGCTGGTATTAAAAAACCTCTCAACGATGACTTCCCGGACATACAATTTAGGAGGAAGAAAACAATCAGCTGGCCTTTCTCGATGTCATAGTCTGCCGCGAAGAGTGTTGTAATCTAGAAACTACAGTGTTCCAAAAAATGGCTGCTACGACATAAGTACTGGGCTTCAACAGTTACCAACTGATCATTGACAAACACAGTTGCATAAGGACGCTGTATCGGCGTGTTAAGGGGGACTTCAGTGAACCAAAAACAATAGTGATGAATCACGATATCTTCGATGAGTGTTGAAGGCGAATGATCATTCGCACAACTTCGTTAACCGGCACATGTGCAAACGAGATGAGTCAAACCCAAATATTGGCGGGCGCTATTATACGCCAAGAACACTTCGATATCCGCCAACTGCCTTCCCACACCCCTTGGAATTGGGGCTGCATGTAGGTCGGAAACGACTGTCGGGCGGCAATTATGAGGCTGAAAGACATGCCCTCATAACAAGGAACGTCTGAAGTCGTCTACCAGACCTGGCGCATTTTCGGGTGAAGCAACTGCCCTGGTGCGGATGGCCAAACATGTGGCAAAAATGAGGGCGAACGACTCCAGCTCTCAAGCTGCGATTCATTCAACGGGACCGGGCCGCATCTTCAGGCTCGAGGAGACCAAAGTTACCGCGAGAGGTGACAACCGCGTCAATAGCGAGCCGCTTGGGCAATGTTTCCCGGCGCGCAGTCTGTTAAGAAGCGCAGTGGCTTCCCTTCCTCCTCAGCGCCGAGGGTGTCTAGGCAGGGTAGTTGACCACGTGGGAGCGCGCGAACAAGTGCCGTTTCCGATGAGCCAAAGCGAAAGGGCAAATATCACGTCAGCGGTCGCCATTTGTGATAAAACTTGCAATAATTAAGGTATCGGGTGCGGGCGAGCAAGCAATCATTGCAGTAGGTACGATCACTGCCGATGAAGATGGGAACTGCCGATGAGATGGGTGTGTGGCGGGACGGCAACATCACGTTATAGATGCTGCTAATACTCAGCTGACGCCTAAGGAGGTTTGACAAAGGCCGCACGGCGGGTGGTATCCGAATACTGGAGAGTACCAACTATAATTAACCCTTTACTGGCAAAGAACTATAAGGATTTTAAGATAACAAGGCCAGAACACCGGTGCTCCTGGGGGGAGTCGAGCCGTCGGTCCCGAATTTGCGTTCGTGTCCTGCATCCCGAGCCTCCGTGGGCATACCTTCTGGGTGTACGAATAGTCTCTATCCCTAATATAATTTACTAGGTAGGTAAATATTCCAGTCTCACGATAGTTCTACTAGGATTTCAACGGGCAGTCACATAGGCGCAGACTACAAACATCTTTATCCCTGGCCGATTAAGTAATTAAAGTAGTTCTAGTGGTCAGAAGCGATCTTTGTAACAACGGACTGTAGGAATGTAAAATTTACATAGTTAATGGTAAACCAGGTCATAATATTGCGATCTCTTCACCAATTAATGAAATCTTTATGCTTCTAATCAGTAATTTGAAATTTAGCCTCATTTTTATTTCATTACATTCGGTACTATAATGAACAAAAATGGTACTCAAAGTAAAGTCTCATCTTACCATCCAAGACTTCGGAAAACGTCATCGCTACAAAATGCAAGGTATAGGTGACTTTGGAAAGACAAAAGTCGACAGTTAGCACGCCTACGACAATTAAGTCAAACCTAACGCATATAAAGGCTTGACTCGAGGTAGTTTATAGGCACCTGCGCTTGCTTGAACTTTTGAGCTTCGGCACAGTCAGTTTCGACGTTAAAATACATGTACAACTTCCGTTGGACTCTGTATCTACGCTAATGGTTAGGCAAGCTGGAACAACAGGGATAAGGTTTATTTAAAATGCTATTTGAATGTGTTTTTTCCCGCAAACTAACTGACACGACGGAATACTAGGTAAAAAAGGCAATTTTTTGCACGGAAATCTGACACTTTCCGAGCTTAGAAGTATTCCTTTCAAAAACCGCCTTCGTATCTACAAATTCCTATCGCTATAATCTGAGCAAAACTACCCATAAATCTCTGCAAAAGGCAGAGCGACGAATGCCTACGTCAAATCCGGCTATTTTACTATGGGCGAATTTAGTGGCACCTTATACTGGCGTTGCGCTTCGTTCGAGGCCTGGACTGTTGCTTTGCTTTTGAGCATTTCCTTAAGATTTCCAGCACAACCAACCTACGCGAACACTCCTTTAAACTACAGTTGGATGAGTCACGGTTAAATGCGCGAAGATTCTTCTTCTTGCGCAGGGTCGTCGAGGTGCGGATCGTTCGAAGACGTCGCGATGCCAACAAGTGTAGAAGTATTCAAAAGGTAGAATGACGAGCGTCTTCGTCAATCCATTATTTATCGAGCGTAGATGCAACAGTGCGGAAATTTTTAATCAAGGCGAGTGCCGGGGCGAGATGCCGGACCCTTAAGAAAATTACCCAGAGGCTCCGCAGAATAAAGGAAACTGTCCCCCACAAGTGAGGGACGACCTTATCTACGAATTGAATTGCTTTGCTCATCTTGGTGAAGCATCTTGTAATGTCAACATTAGGATGTCAGTGGATAAAAGACGCTCAAAGTGCAGTTGAGGAACGACTTAACTCAAGACGATTTCAAGCATGTGTCACTCGCTTCCTCACTCAAGGAAGGTGAAAACACGCACTAATAGGACAAATGCCCGTTCTCAACAAAACACAGTTGGCAGCGCACATGTCCCGACTAAAGTTTGATATCTGCAGCCCAAAACTCCATACAACTAACCACAAAGTAAAGGCTGCACATATTTTGCTAGTCAGCAGCATAGACTTTAGACTGCTATCCTTGCTTACTAGGCTTAAATGAAAGTTACTCACCAGGAATAATTCACTAGTATTTATATTCACTGACCAACCCTACTTTATTTTCGTCAAAAGAGAATTTCGCCTGTTAGTATCATATTGGTTAGAGCCTCGAATATCAAAAGTTAAACAGCTGGCGCCGCTCAAGATATTTTAAGATGATAAATGCACGTAAAATACGATCAGACGGACCATTGTTCTTAATTTATGCTGACGAAGAATCAGATTTTGTTTTGGGAAAAGCGATTAGACTTGCGTTTTCAAACGCGACGGCTTAAGATATTTGAAATATCGTCAAGCATATGTACAGGGCCAGGATTTTTCTGAAATCAATCGCTCGAATGTGCAATTTTAAGCATTAATTATCTCTACTTTTGCCTTTAGGACGTCTACATAGGCCGAACTTTCTATGTAGGAATATTTAAACCAGGAGCACATACCCGCACTAAGTAAGAGTTCTGTTGGGAATAAAAACATCAATAATGTAAGTAAGTATAAAAGATTATTTTCGAGTGAAAGGAAGAAATCCCATTTTTATGAGTAATAAAGGCGGTAAGAAGACTAGTCAAGGCCGAACTAATACATTTTTCGTAATTTCACGAAAACTTTTAGGGGAGTTGATTTGTGTTTCTAAATAAAATTAAAATGCATGAAGTGCATGGTCTAGAAATGTTAGGACTCTTACGTGGATCCCCCTCGAGAGCTACATTGCAAGGAGTGCACATCAGTAAATACGACTTTTTCGAAGCCTATATTTTAAATGTTATTTTAAGGAATCAAGTTACCTTTATAAGCGTCATGTATTGCGGACACTGTAAAAGAAAGTAAATTTGCGCTTTCTAGACGAGATTAAAGATACGAATTAAATTTAAGCAGTTTTCATTGACCCGCTCGACCTCATGCACTCGGTTTTATAAAAGACTTAAAATGACAGAAAAGTTGCCTAGTAAATTGTTCAAAAAACTAAACGCAAAGATTTCGACAACTCAAAATATGCCTTCCAATATATGCAACTTTACACAGCATATCTAGACTTCTTACTGAAATTCTCGAAGTCTAAAAGAAAAAAAACAATTTGTTAATGGAGAAATAAGCCAGCCATCACATGTTATAGCATTTTGTTATCAATGAATTCATGCATTTCCATACGAATGCCTCTTTTTAATCATTTTGCACAATTCCTCAGTTTGTGATAGCAAGCGAGTCTTAACAGAGTTTGTAATCAAGGTGCGTTAACACCGAGAATCGTAACTGAACTTCGTCAAGCTAATTATAGCTTACCTTCGCCTGAAAAAGTGTTATCGACATCATCTAAAGAAAAGCGCATTTATTTAGCCAGGAACTGTAGAAATTCGTTTGTACTATAATACAATTATTGATTTTAAACGCTTTATGAAAACAACTTTGCAGTGTGGGAGAATGAATTTACCTCCAAATTGGCTCTTGAGCATGGAAACTGAAATATAATTGAGAAAACCCACAGTAAGAACTACTTTCATTCGCTTTTCCCAATATTTTACACTGGCAGAGGCATGTAGTAGGATATAAGAACAAGTTCACATGTGTCCACTTTCGTTTTTATTTGAGCAAATTTCTCATAGATTTGTAACTCCTAAGTCCTTTTGTTCAAAACTGTCATTGAATCAATGCGGACTGAAGGGGTCGATATCACTCTAGGTGTCCAGAGGTTGTTACGTAGCCAGATACATTAAGCTCCCTTGGATAGAAAGCCGAGCAGACTGCAACTAGACACTTAAACTTTCGTTTTCACTAAAAATCCATTCTAGCGACCTTCCATCCGATTAACGACATAACACATGGGACCATAGGCAGCGCCCAGTATTGACAGCCCTCGACGCCGCCGTAGATACCAATTCTCACGACTGTCGTGGAAAATTGAAGAGTCGTTTGTGTGCCTCTTTAGAGTACGCCTCCAGCTCGCGAAAACTGGAGGTTACCAAACTGACTGCGCAGTTTTCAACCGTCAGTTGAAGTCTATGCTGTTGAAGTCTATGTGCAGGGGATTCGGTAATTCTCCTATCTACCGAATCACCTGCACATAGACTTCAATAGCATTATTTTTAGGGGTGAACAGAGCGATTTCTTAGCACGTTATTGTCGTTTTCCGACATCATATCATTTACTTTGACGGTTATCTATCACCGTTTGATTCTGCATCCTTCTAGGTGAGACTGCCGGTCTTTTTTATATCACCACGGCATGAATCATACCCTACACTTAAGTCACAATCAGGTAGTTTCTATAGCGTTGTGCTTAACAGATGGACACTTTGCTTAATATAAGACGCATTTTTCACTTTTCGACAGAAGCCGACAGAACAGACGCATAATTATAGTGTTGTCAAAGGGGGTTAAAGTGTACAGTCAGAATTCTTGGAGCAAAATGCGCCGACGGAAAATAAACTTTCAAAAAGGTAAATCGGCGACTAGTGTTGCGGAAACTTGGCGTTCAAACTTACTCAGGCCTAGTCCAAAACCTGCCAACGAAGAAACGCTTATAAGGCTAAAAGTGTCATGGTGAGCAGGCTCGATTTATCGTCATAACGGGACAGGCAGAGAAATTGTGCAACACAATTCCTCCTCTTGGCTAACAAATAAAGAATATGTGTGGCTAACAGAAGCATTTTGTGGCGAATATGTTGCCAGTTATTGTAAATAATTATGGGAAAATTGCAAATATTTGCATGAAAAAATAATTATCCCTGGCAGAAAGTCAAACAAACATTAATATTTTATAGAACTTCAGGTCAGTTTGCTAGTATTCTGGGCAAGTAAGCCGGAAAAACTCACCCTTCCAGATTCCTTGCACTTTCATGAAAAATAAAAGAGCATATCATGTTAGTTTCAGAAGGCAAAAGGAAAAGCTTTATGGCCTTTTCTCCCAAAATGTTGAGCTGTCTCAAAGGAAACTGAGCACAACATAAAGGGGGGGGGCGCACTTAACTCATCTACATCTACACAAGCTCAGTTAAACGACAGAGTTCCGTGTGATTTAAATCAAAATCGCAATCTTCCTAAGTATACAACCATCCAAAAATGCGCTTCTGAGACTGATATCTTGACTCATGAGAAAATACATTTAACCACCTAGTAATTTTCAGTATCTGGCACTTACTGTTTTAAACAACAAGGAAGAAACTGCTAAATTTTTATGCACCTGCATAGTAATATTAAAAAATTACACGGATGCTAAAAAGAAAGATATCCTAGTCGTGAGGTTGGCATAATAAGTCAAAGTATCACACCTGAGACGGCTAGCAACACAACGAACAAGAGGCAAATAGGGCTGGTTGCGCGCATGTTCAACAGAGATGACTTGGTCCTCCGCAACTGAAGGTTTCAAAACAAAGCACAAATAAAAGCAGCTTCCTTGGCATGTGATTCGTCAAGGACTTGGGCCACTTTTGCACGTGTAGGAAGGTGACTGGTTCCTTGATAGGCAAGAGATCCAGGAGTTTAGGTGCCAACATATGAGTGTGGTTAGTCGCAGTTGGCCTATTACTCGCAAACTGAAATCGATTGTCAAAACAAGAACATGACGGCCAAATATGGAGTAAAACAATCGAAAAATAATTTCGACTTGCTAATACAATATATGAATAACATAAATTTATAAAAAAACTTTACAAGAAACCACATTAAATCCAAACGCCTCGAACGATAACTCTAGAACTTCCGTCCTATCAGAGTTTTTTAACCAGATTGTTTAGTAATAATCCGTAAATATACCTAAAATACTGGGACACAACCGCGTCAACTAGAATATCCTACAGAATGTATACTTCAGTGAACTGCTTCATTTTATGGACTATTATTACAGGGAAGTATCGTGATAAGGGAGGATCTTTCTTTTCCTGTTAACACTATGCAGTCGGTAAATGATGTCAAATGGCTACGTCGTTTTTTGTTAAGAAAAGTATTTACTTTTCAGCCCGAACGATATTTCCGTAAAAATGACATTTACCTTGAAAATGTTGAAATGAAGTTTGACATAGAGATTTCGAGAAGGCAGAGACTTAAAAAAACGTTAGGGACCAGACGCCTGCTATTTCGGGAGAGCACGTCACTATAAAAACTTTCGCTGCCGTGTAAAAGTTTCATGGAATGCACGGTAAATAAAGGTACGGACAAAACAGACATAAATGCTTCCACACTCAGTAAGTAATCCATATGATACCTCATACTGCGAAAATATCAGAAACCGAGAATAAACACAAGAGCTTTCACTGGGCCTTCAGGCAAAACCCTTTGTACAATTTAAAATTTTGCAACCTTCCCATTAATGGCCTCGTCTTCTACGGTCGGTACGTGGACAATAGCTTCTTCCTGGCGAATGGTACCACCGATACCGAGGAGAGTGTCCAAAAGTTCAACAGTGCGCACCTCTCGTTAAAGTTCACGGCAGAGGCCGAGTGCGGTAACGAAATTGCCTTTCTCGATGTTCTTCTGCAAAGGCAAGATGATGGGTCAGTCCAGCGTAGGGTGTTCCGAAAGAAAACTTGGAGGGGACAATACGTTAATGTCCACAGTTTTGTTCCCCTAAACATCAAAAGGAATTTAGTCGGGAATAGGCGGCTAGGGTGAGACGCATCTGCTCACCTGAAGCAATTGAAGAAGAACTCCAACAGCTGCGGAACACACTTCGGGAGAACGGATGCGCAGATAGATTTATTCTCCGAAATATAGGAGAAAGCGCCGCAAAGCCCACTGTTGCGACTGCGGAAAAGCTAGAGGTATTCATAAATTTCCTTTTGCAGGAGACGCAGAGAGCGAACTAGTCAGACGGCGCTTTACTACGGCTATCACGAATTTACGCGTATGCTTCACAAACTCTCCCCTCCAACGTTTGGGAGGCAAAGACAGACTACCGTTGAATGCCACATCAATGTGCATTTACTCATTCACTTGCTCCTGTGAAGCAGGATACATCGGCCGCACAACGAGACTTCTGGTAAAGAGGATGCGTGAAAATATGCCCGCCTGGCTAGACAGAGGTGAGACCTGGTCGATTTCGAGTTATATTCTCGCACATTTAATCGATACGAATCACCGAGTCGATGCCAAGGGAGCATTTCGGATTGCCTACCGGACACAAACATGTTTCTCTAAAGGCCTACGCCAACGGATACTAGCAACGGCTGTTAGCGAATCCGGTGTTATGCTGTCAGAAAACCCTGACACAAGCGCTCTCTCTTCCGTGGCCAACGCCAACCCCAAGTGACGAAGCCATGCCGCCTCAAATCCCTAATTACAGCGATGGGTACTCCGTGTACTCAATCCAAGAACATCACTCAAAGACTCTCTTACCCCCCTCCCCTAGCTCTGAGGACCAAAACCCGCCGACCTGGTCATGCGGGCGGCGTGGGGATGATGAGTGTTTATGACTTAATGGCCCTTGAGACATCTATAAACACTGTTGATTTTGTACATATTAATTCCTTCTTGTAACTATATTGGCCTGACGAAGAACTACCGAAAACAAGTGTTTGCCAATTTGACTTTTCAAGTGTAACATGGGAATATTTGCGGAAAATATGCAAGTGACGAGAAAAAAGGGAGGCACTGAGAAACCTTGAAATAGTTCAGCGTTGGAAAAGTTCAACAAAAACACGATGGCATTCATTCTGCTACTGCCTCTGATGATGGATTCAAGTGATGATGGATTCAACGTCAGGCGAATAAAGACCTTGTTCCAAAGATCGCTTCTTCTTCTGATTCACGTCAGTTTCTATTCCGGCAAATTTGATTTTTTTAGAGGATTTTAGGGAGATGGATTTTCATGTGACACATATGGTCCTAGGAAATGACTTCCAGAATGAAGCTGCAGCAGAATGCATCGAGATATAGACAACAATCAGCAAATCTGTCTGTTGGTAGGTTTGGCTACCAGTCACAATATCGATGGTCAAAGGGTGAGTTAAAAGAAAATATCAATTATACCCAGCTGGACCTAGGACCATATAATCAGACCTCAACGGATTCTAACTGAGAGATAACATTTAAAGTCAGGAAGTTGCTTAAACCGATGTGACGTAGAATGAAATAAACTAGCATTCCTTCAGTAATATTTTGCCTGTCTAAGAAAAATTCATTAAATTATGGTCATACATGAGACTTTGATTTGATTTAATCGACTACGATTTATTATAGTACATACGAGTTAGGAAGTATGCATGGAGGGCAGCATTCAAGGGGAAAACTAGAATCAAGGGACTACTTTGAGTAGTGCAAAGGAAATTTCAAGTCAGTAAATCGCCAGGAGATAAAGTTATTTATCGGAAGAGGTATACACGAAACTGCGTGGGTTTATATATTGACCTGACCACATTTCATTCGATAGACTCTCCTTCGAACGCCAACGCTGGGTCTTCTGCTTAAAAGGACGTAGAAAAAATGGCACGAACCTACCGCTTCCATCCCCAACCTAAACTTAATCGAGAGATGTGTCTGACTTACAGCATCTAAGAGAACAATAACAACACTTGGTCTTCTTCTAGCCGATGCCTTCACGGGAAACTCTTGGTTAAGCTCCCATATCAATAGACAAAGGCATATTGGTCACTATGCTGATGACCAAAATGTCCTTTCATAAGCTAAAAATTAGGCACATCCGTCAATCAAGTTTACGTTGTGGGTGAAAGTGACATTTTTGCTAAATTTCTCAGAGATCCCACGCAGAGGAACAAACGCTGGCGTTTAAAGAGACGTTAGCAATCCTTCAAATGAAACGTAATCTAGTGTGTTATTTAGCGCAAAAAGTTGGATGTCATCAACGTGGAGCATGGGGAAATTAATGGTCTGCTTCTAGAATACGGGTATCCTGACCGATTAATTACAAAGAATACTGCAGACCAACCAGCGAAACCTACCGTTCTGATGGCGAGAAGGAACACTTTATTCTTCAACGTCCGCTTTCAAGGGAACAAGGCAAGTGAAATCCTGAGTTGACACCTTGACCAAGATGTTTCAAGAAGTTTTCCAGCATCAAGAGATCATATCTACTTTTCGCGTAGAAGGCAAAGATGGGTTTCCGGCTAAGGCCACCTCTATGTACATTCACACGTTTGCTTGCTCCTGAATAGGGGTTATGGTGGTCGCAGGAGTCGGCACCTATCCAAAAGAATACAGAAACACCTACAGAATGATTGAGAAAGAGTGAGATTAAGTGCATACAAGCGTCAGTCTCGCTCATATTGTTGATTTCAGACATATTGTGGTCCGTATGATCGCCCCATCGAACTACCCTAGAACACTGGGTCAGCCTCTGCTGGCAACGGCAGAAGCGGCTGTCATTAGGTTACGCAAGCCCGTCTTTTGCGAATAAAAGAACCTTCTGTAAACGCCGCATTCGCCATGGCCGAAGATCGATTAATTCCATGAAGTTCCCCGCCCCTTCCATCCCTTTTCCTGGCACGGCTTTTCTTAATTTCCTCCCACATCCCACCTGTATGTAAAGACGAACTTTGATCGACCCTCTTATCACTCAGGACTTTACTTGACCCATTCCCATATTAATGCACCGGCCTGATGAAACTACCCGAGGCCAATGTATACTCGCCAACTAGTTTTCTGAATTTTCTCTTTGTTTCCCGGTTGTATTTCTCGTTTCCCCAAGTACATTGAAGTCGATAGACCATGGAAAACTTCCTACTCACTGTGATCTGTATCATTAGATTACGATATGTGAACCTATTAAGGTACAGAATGTTTGGCCGTGGGTTGGGCAGCTTGGATTATTAGGCCTATGACGTACTGATGATCGGTAATGATCGTGAAACAGCCGTCTGCGTCTGGCCTGTTGCACTCTTAGCGAGCTGCCTATGAATTATAAGTTACGCTTCAGAATGTTATTACCGACAGGGACACGGGAGACTGGAACGGCCGTTTCTGGCCTATTAGCCGTTGTCAGCCAGTCACACCCAACCCCGAAGTATGGAATACCTGAGGCTCGAACTCGCGGCCTGTTAGTTAGAAGTCCAACGCCTCTAATCACTGAGCCACGGGCTTGTTGTCCTGTCGGTTTTGATCCGGAATATACAATGGTAGAGGGACGCCCACCGATCGTTCTTACGGAACTTACTCATTCTGTTGTGCCTTACGGGCTCTCTCTCGAGCTCAACCAGCAGCCGCACGGCAGGACACGATGTAGGCAGAATGTTATTACCGACAAAGACATGGGAGGCTGAACAACGGGCCCTTGGCCCAGTGGTTAGAGGCGTTCGACTTCTAGCTAACTGGTCGCGAGTTGGAGCCTCAGGTGTTCCATACTTCGGGGTTGAGTGTGACTGGATGACAACGGC